ACCATGAGTCGAAATTTTCGCAACATTCGATATTTTAACATAGACGTTTCCATCGCTACACTCACATAGCAATTTTGTGCCGTCATGTCACAAAAGCATACCGGTAAAGGCATATATGTCCATGAGAATAATGTAGATCTTCTGACAAATGAAAGACTACGATCACCTTGTCCAGACAGCTACTTCTAAATTTGTATCCAGCTTTGCCAGATGACAGAGCTTCCTCCCTCATGAACACAGATAGTGCCATAGAAACCGTTCCTGCAGTCTCTATACTATCCCATCAAATTAATTCAGGTTTACCGGCGTTTTCGTCTCATCTGATCCTTCCAAATTGGCCTCTTGCTTATTCAGCTGGTAGTACTGTCTCTATAAAAAGCAAGGCAGATAGTGTCAGTAGCATCGCTGCAGCAGTTTCTATGCTAGTCCATGAAAACAGTTTAGATCTTGTGGCGTCTTTGAAAGTCACATCTGATGCACATTCAAATGCAATCGCTTTTTAACAACAGCTAAATCCTGTTCGGTACGCAAATTGGTCACGCGGCAGTGCTGCCTATATGACGCGCGTAGATAGGGTCAACAGCACTTGCTGGATTTGCATGCCATAAAGAAGATCGAAACTATACTGTAGCTTCAGACTTTAAAATAGAAACGAACTGCACAATTTCCTGCATGGCTGAGATTTCACTCCAGTTTTACTGGACTGTTTAGTAATCCTAGGACAGCTGTTTAGCGCGAAACATTTTCAAGTTCTTAGGAAAGGTCTCCAGAGTGCTACCGTTTTTCTACTTTTAGTACTGATTGAGCGGGTCCATCTCGTCATGAGCAGAAAGCTGTGAGGTCGCTGCCATGAATGCAACAGTTCACTGCCGCTTGACACGTTACCACCCCTTCGATAAGCCGCTGGAGCTTGGAGGCTACGGCATTAATAGTGGCAGTCGTTCTTGTAGGAATGCCATACCCAAAGTCAAGATCTCATTTCCTCTCAAATGCGTAAAGATGAGCTTCCAGCGGGTTGTAGGCATCAGTAGCCATTTAGCTAACAATTTATTAGCTATGTTCGAAGTGCTCAATTGTCCGTGGAGGGCGTCTAATAAATGCCGTAACATTTATAAATAGATGTCCTCGAAACTTAGCGTCAAAGAATGAGCTGTCTTCAAACATTTTGACGGCTTTATTGATCAGATGACGGCTCAGAGTGCAACAAGAATTTTACGTTCAGACAACTCGCTCGTTCATAGTCCTATCGGCACAGTGCGAAGCAAGTTTCATAAGCGTAACTAAAATTTATAAATTAAATCGTCCTCATTTTGAATCATCCTCAATTCATCTTTTGAGGTAATGCGATACATGCTTAAGGACAAAAAATACGCAGCGATGCAATGGATTCTTGTAAGGAAACGCTGTAAGCTACAAACGCATGTAATCAAATCTTGAAGGCCTTCAACCAGCAGCAGGTGGATGTTTCAGGTTACTATCTAGCTATTTTCTCCGACTTACTTTCGCTCGAATTCTTCGGTTTAACATAATTTCTGAAAAGCCCAAACAGAAAACAAAGGTGCGCTTGGAAAATATTAAAGTCTACGTGGTTGAGTAAGTACTTCTTCCAACGATATAATGATGAAAAACATCTGATTATAGTCGTGACAAACCATTCATCGCTTTCCGCACATTTCTACCCATATAGTCGTAAAGGAAACATAGTAAAACAAGAGCAAATTTACACGCCAATGATTGCAAAAAAATGAAACACAGAATGTCTTCTGACACCAATTTATTAGCACAATGAAACAAGGGCTGCTTTGCAGTGGATATGCATGTTAATTAGCCCTTGACGATATTAACTGTTTGTTTTTCTCGTTGATTGCCTTGGTAACCAAACGGTTGTATTTCGCTTCGGCAGGGTTTTGCAGTTTCTTCGGTTTAATATGTAACTTCTGCCCCTTCTTTGGGCCATGTTTCTGAATTTTGCTACGTCCCTTTACCTTGACTCCTTTTGGAAGCTGCACCTTCTGCTTCATCTTGTGTTGAGCCATGACGATGAAAATGACGTGTTTCAATAGACCAAGCAATATACTGACATAAACAGGCAGCACACTGACACTAGGATATGCAGACGAGTTCCGATCACGCTCGCTAAAAAATGATTAATAACGAGAGTGAAAACAGAAAATCATGCAGTCGACCATACAATATCAATTTAGCAATATCACACTATTCATTAACTTACTAAATATTGTGCATTAGAAATAGCTTAAGAAGATAACTACACGAATATGTTTATCATTACTAAGCGTTTGTTATCAGCCTTTTTCAAAATATACAAAAGAAAACAGTCAGAGGAAAAAGAAAGAAATCTCAAAGCATACTTGAAGACGGTTAAAAAATACAACTGAGGATAATACTAGAAAAACTATGCTTTATAGAAATCTTGGCTTCTAAACAGCAGCATGAGTGTGGGGTTCGACATCGTGGTTCTGAGGCACAGATTATAATGAGGGGGCAGGTCGACCACGACATGTAGTTTCGGTGTATACGGTACAACATAACGATGGTATAATTGGAGTAAAGCCTGACTCAGGCTATCTCGACGTAGTAAACCCAACCTGATCAATGACCAAGAGCCCTGTAACAGGCGGGCCTATGTTATAGCTTCTTTTAGTGACGAAGTATGAGATATAGCTCTTGGAGCTTTGGGCAAGAATCACTTCACCAGTAATGCATGCGGCTTTATCAAAACGCACTTTCCAAACACACAGAATCGACCCGATTATGGATGTGTGGATCTCACATTTGCTTAATTCCGGGTCCATACACATTGCACAGTATCCTCATCAGCCATGCAAAACCCTCATAAACTATGAAACAGTCGCAACCTAACTCAGGCGTTGGCAAACCTGATCTCCTTGATGCGTGTGAAAAATGAAATATTATAGATGCCAAAGCTGTGATCCACGTGAATCCTTATCCTTCTTGAATAAAACCCTAAACGCTGTGAACTCTACATTCTGAACACAGGATAATGACTCAATTGGTTTGCCTCAAACTAACAAAATTCATTTTCTGCCAGTCAAACTGAGATAATCTTCGACGTGCATTGATACACATTTCTCCAAAAAATTAGACGTGGTCACTGTTACAATTCGCTGAGCTTTGACATGGAAAGCTATCGATGCCAATCACCATTCCTACCGCCCAATCATTCACGGGGTATTCCGCAAGAAAATGCACTTTCTTATCTTAACTCCAAAGCTCTTCATCCCAGGTATGGTCCCAATAACTAGGGCAACAATCACCTCCAATTTCCATTCTCTTCAGTCCCAGAATTTTGGAATTTTGGCTATTATAAAATGTTACCTTCAAAATCAGGACTTTCGAGTTCTTTACAAAATTGAAAAAAAACACTTCATCTTCCTTTTGTGCGAATATTTGAAAGCCGTAGCACAAGCCTAACGGTGATAGTAGTTGTTAAACTGAAGACTTATAGATCTTCAAAGTGAGCATAAAAGAACACCAAAATGAGATTAGAAAGAACCGCCATTCAGAACATTTCGGAATTGTTGCACATGCCGTAGAATGCAAACAATTCAACGGTAAAGATTCGCCTGCAGAAAAAAACAACCTATGGCTACTTATTAAAGAATTATTGCACGTTTCAACCAACAAGCAAAGGATGTGCAACAATCCTCACAAGAGTACAATGGAGATACGTTCGGCTTTCATCCCCTTTCAGGTGTGTCCGTTTCTTTTCGTTTTATTGTACTTTTCGAACATGTCTTTTTAGCACACGCCAATTAAAAACTTTTAATACTTGCATATCGCATATTTACCATAACTCCATTTTGAAAATATTTTTACATTTAGTGCTTTCCGTACCGGAAGCAGAAACATCAGATTAAATTTTAAAAGCATATCAAACCTAAAATCATTGTTCGTTGCCCACAGAAATGGATAAACTTTATTTACTGGTGCGCATTTAAATGAATTTCAGAAGATAGCTATAAACACATTAAGTTTCCAGAGAAAATCTCAATTTTAGGTGAGAATCCGAAATATGACGAAATAAATAAGTTTTTCGCTGCTTTTCTCTCACTTAAATTTTTCCACAGCTTTCACCAGACAACAGATGGTTAAATACTAAAGCTACAAGAAACGCCGAAAAAAGTGTAATTTACAAATATTTTCAAGCGCGTCTAACCTTTGTAAAAAACTCCCCAAAATCCTTGCTTTTCAGAAAGCAGCAACTTCTTTAGTCGAGGGACGTGTCGAACGTACGCTGAAGTGCAAATCAACAGCAAGCACACAACCAAAAATCCGTCAAAGGAATACGCTAAATGAATATTTTAGTGCATTGTAAAAACGCGAAGATAGCGAATTACATAAGTTTAAAACAAAGTTTAAAGTTTAAGTTAAAACAACGTTTTCAGTCTGAAAACTAAGTTCTCGGTGTTCAAGTCGATCTTTCTCCCCATGCTTACCTACGGTCATGAGTCGTGGACCATCACTGAAAAACTTCGAACCCGGGTACAAGCTGCTGAAATGGGCTTTCTTAGACGAGTGGCTGGCCTTAAGCGTCTTGACGTGGTTCGGAATAGTGACATCCGGAAGAGCCTTGGTATACAGCCTTTGTTTCTCCAGACTGAGAAATCACAGCTGCGATTATTTGGGTGTGTTGCGAATGCCTGCAGAAAGGAAAGCTAAGCAACTATTTCTTGGGAAATCGCTCGACAGAAAGCCCAGAGTACGTCCAAGATTAACCTGGTGCAAATGTATGGAAGGAGTCTGTTCCAGACTCCATTTGTCTTTTGCAGAATCTCAGACTCTGGCCCAGGATCGGGAACGTTGGAAGCTCTGTCTGACGCGTCTGCCTCCGCGACCCGAAAGGAGAAGCAGCGACGGAAGATGATGGTGATGATGAAACAACGTTTAAACAACCCGTTTCTTTTTCAAATTTATATCCTCTTCGTCATCATGTCATATAAGACGAAATGTTTACGATGATATCGTTATAGGAAGGTTAATCGTCTTTTTCTGGTCAAAGTATTGTCCTGCGATTTAAAAATATAAAATATTCCAAACTTAATGCACACATATCATAAAAACACAATTATTTGTTCGAATCGTAGAGGGCACGGCGAAAAAAACTTTGTTAAATAATCTGCAGAATTAGAAAATATGAAACACAATGAAATCATGCATCACAAAATTTGGGATTCGCACAACTCGCCCTTCCACCAACTGATGCTAAGAAATACGGAATAATGTTTTTTGGATCTAATCGTATTGCGAAATCAGCATATAGCAACACTAATAACCTAAATTTTCAGTATACAACATAAACCGCACAAATTCTAAATTAATCAGTTTATTTCAAATGAATCACAAGATTACTGGTGTAACTGAGACAATGAC